ACCCCCGGCTGGCACACCCCAGCTGTGACACTGCTATAGGTTCCTACAACTCACTAAGGGAATTAACTGCACACTTGCAGTTGTCTGATTTTGCCACTAGATGGTACACCGTTGGTCCTTTTGGCTTTTACCCAAAGGTGCCTGGCTCATTTGGAGGGGACTTGTAAGAGACATTCCAAAGACGTACCATCATGTACTCAACCAAATCAGGCTCTTTACAGCTTAGTTTTTAAATAAACATTAAGTGTTAGAGGCTTTTATGTAAAATAAAGTTTCAACTTCTACATCTGATTATAATGACCTGTATTATCTCTTAAGTAAATAGCAGGGACTAGACTGTGATTTTCAAAGCTTTCATGTTCTGGTCAAGCTCAGTTTGTGCAGTTCCATGGATGCATCCTCACTATCCAGGCTCTGAGCACTTAAGTTTGTAGAGACGCAACCACTGCTGAACCACTTGGGATTCAGATCTGGTCAGCTTCATGTCAAGGAGAGAGGAATGAAGATTCTCCTCTTCAGATGGAAACTTGGGGACCTCTCCCTCCCATATTCTACTGGTCAAGGTTCTTGAGTGGCAGATAACCAGAAACCACCTCTGGTGAACTCAAACTGAAAAGGGATTTATTGGCAAGATCTTGGGTAGTTCATGGAGTTTATGGAAGTTTGGAGAACTGCACTCAGAACTGGGGCAGGAATTCCAGGAGGCTGAGCTGGCTGGGATCAGAGCCAGAATCAGGCCCTAGAATAGTCTGGATAGGACGTTGCTGCTGTTGCTACCACACAGGGGGACTGGACCGGGGCACTGTCCTTGGCACTGATGCCTTTGCTGCAGTTCTTTTTCTTCAGTCAGCCTGTTCATCCTGAGCACTTTTGATTTTGTTTTAAACTCTCCCTTGTTTGTTAGTATCAGCTGCTGCAGATTTAATCACCAGAGTGAGAACACACAACAGAACCTGCTACTCAAAAAGTCCTTGTGTGCAGAGCTGGAACTCATCTGTGCATTGTCATTGTCACCTACTATTGTCATACCAGCTCTTAAAATATCAAAATAGTCCGATAACACCCAGGATCCATTCTCTTTCTACCCTCTCACCATCCAGCCATGAAATGGTTAATAGCAGGCACAGGGAGGGGCCTCCCAGAGAGTGCTGCAACTGGTGTCTGCTCCAGCTGGTAGACATTTGTGGCAAAATGATGGTTAAATATTTTGAATATTATCCCTGACCATGTCTGTTTTAGGTCAGTTTGTAAGTAAGATGGGCTGACACTTAGTAGTTTCTATATTGAGAAATGTGAAATGTGCAAAGGGCTACCCACATGACAGTGACTACTCATCACGTATGAGTTGAGGTATCCTTTTTGTTTGGTTCATAAGACATTTCCGTGCTTCGTACTTGTTTTTTTAAATTAAGATGAATTAAACTAAGCTATGCAAAGGGATTATGGAGTGTTATTACAATGAAATACAGCCATTAAAATGATTGATATGCTGAATATATAGAATCTGAGAAAAATGTTCATGAAATATTTAAAAATTGGAACACAGAGCTGTCCAGATATTATGTTTACAACAGTGTATATGCTATTTATGTATCTAAAGTCTAGGAAGGACTTATAAAAGAATGAAAATAGTTTGAGTTAAGATAGCTTCACAGTTGAATCAGAAAGATTTCTTCAATAATGCTTTTAAAATTGAGGAAGGGCCAGGTGTGGTGGCTCACACCTGTAATCCCAGCACTTTCAGAGACTGAGGCAGGAGGGTTGCTTGAGGCCAGGAGTTGAGGCCAGCCTGGGCAACAGAGAGATACCATCTCTATCTACAAAATAAAAATTCAAAAAATTAGCCAGGCATGGTAGTGCATGACTGTGGTCCCAGCTACTTGGGAGGCTGAGGTGGGAGGATCGCTTGAGCCCAGGAGGTTGAGTGAGGCTGCAGTGAGCTGTGAGCACACCAGTGCACTCCAGCCTGGGTGATAGCTCAAGATCCTGTCTCCAACAAAAAAAAAAAAAAAAAAAAAGAAAAACAAAGAAAAGAAAAAAATAAGGAATCATTAAGGAATCAAACCTTAGCATAATGTAATTGCTCATGAAAATTATTTATATCGTGGGAAAAATTATAGAAAAAAAATAAAATTATTTATAAAATAAAAACATTTGGATTTTATCACAGCAACCTTTTTGATCCTGGTAGGCAAACTAAGGTACCAAAAATTAGAATTGGAGAACACGAGGACATACAGATAACAGCAGGTTGTGTGTTTCTCGATTGAAGGAACAGATGTTTCCACACCTTAGAGAACTGTCTGAGGGGACAGCTCTTGAAGGTCATAGATAGTCTCAGATGTATTTGACAGTGACAGAGGCAAAGTTACTGCTCATTTGGGCTGCAGGGACTGACTTAGAATGATTTCCTTTTCATCTCTAGTATTCTATTTGGTTAATTACAAGGACAGTAAGTAAAGCAACCATCCAGAAAGGAAACCAGTGTCCAACTTCAGCTTTTTTTCTTTTTTAAAGGAAGCCAAATCATGTCTCCTTTTACAGACCTTTATACCATATCTTCATATCCCTATTATAGAATTTGTGAACTGGGGATTTCCTCTACATCATTGCTTCTCATACCTGAAAATGCAAAGGGAGCACCTGGGATTTTGTTAAAATGCCCATTCTGATTCAGTAGATACAGGATGGGGTCTGAGCTTCTGCATTTTCTTTCTTTCTTTTTTCTTTTTGTAGATGGAGTTTTGCTTTGTCACTCAGGCTGGAGTGCAGTGGCACATACAAAGTCAGCTCACTGCAACCTCCGCCTCCCAGGTTCAAGCAGTTCTTCTGCCTCAGCCTCCCAAGTAGTTGGGATTACAGGTGTACACCACCACACCCAACTGATTTTTGTATTTTAGTAGAGATAGAGTTTCATTTTGGCAAGGGTAGTCTTGAACTCCTGGCCTCAGGTGATCTGCCTGCCTCAGCCTTCCAAAGAGCGGGGATTACAGGCATGAGCCACCATGCCTGGCCATGTCTGCATTTTCAGTAAGCCCCCAGCTAATGCCAATGCTGATGGCCTGTGGACCACACTTGAAATATCAAGGTTCTACATATCCTGAGGACTTGTTTTTCAAATTGTGTGACCTTCAGATATGTTCAGTAAGACCTTACCTGTCAAAGTATGTACAAGACTTGTAATTTGAAAACTATAAAACATTACCAAGAGAAATTAAAGAAGACCTGGATAAAGGGAGACCTAGGCCATACTGATGAACTGGAAGACTCAATATTGTTAAAAATGTTACTTTTTCACTGATTGATCTATAGATTCAACATGATTCCAGTCAAAATCCCAACAGAATTTTTTTTTTGGTAGAAATTGATAAGGTAGTTTAAAACTTTATATGAAAATGCCAAGGACCTAAAATAGCCAAATTGATTTTGGAAAAAATCTCAAGTTGGAAGACTCACTGTATTAGGCCATTCTTGCATAGCTATAAAGAAATACCTGAGACTGGGTCGTTCATAAAGAAGAGAGATTTAATTGGCTTGTAGTTCTGCAAGATAGCTGCATGGGAAGCATAGTGCTGGCATCTGCTTGGCTTCTGGGGAGCTTCAGGAAGTTTCCAATCATGGTGGAAGGTGAAGAGGCGGGGCAGGTGTATCACATGACAAGAGCATAAGCAAGGGTGGGGGAGGTGCCATACAACTTTAAATGACCAGGTCTTGTGAGAACTCATGATTGCAAAGTAGCACCAGGCCATGAGGGATCCACCCCCATGATCCAGACACCTCCCACCAAGCCCACCTCCAACATCGGGGATTACATTTTAACAAGAGATTTGGGCAGGGACAAATATCCAAACTATATCACTCACCTTACCTGATTTCAAGACTATGTAAAACTATAGTAATCAAGACAGTGTATTAGATAAAGACAGCTTACTGTAACAGAAAAGAGTCCAGAAATTGACCCGGACATATCTAACCAGTTGCTTTTTGAAAGTGTTATGCTAAACGAGAGAAGCCAGACACAAAGGATTACTTGTGCTATGATACCCTTTATATAAAATCCTCGAAAAGGTAAAACAATAGTAATAGAAAACAGATCATTCGTTAACAGAGAACTGAGATGGTACTTGGCTGCATAGATACATGTGGAAACTTTTTGGGCTGATGGAAAAGCTGTATATTGTGATTGCAGTGGTGGTTATAGGTTGTATATATTTGTCAAAACTCCTCAAATTATACAATTAAAATGGATATATTTAGTTGTATGCAAATTATAACTCAGTAAAAGATCTGGATATATATTAGGGCATTGTTGGTATAATTTAAGCTTTCTTCGATTTGAAACCCTACTAAATAAAGGGGTTATCCATTTGAACATCAGGGATTGGTTCCCATCTCCAGGTAGTAGAGCACAGTGCATAGGAACTTGGACCAGAAAGTCAGGCTGTCTGGGTTCCAGTATCAGCTCCATCACTGCGGCAAGCACACAGCTTCACCTGTCTGTGTCTCGGTTTCCCCATCTGTGTGAACTGACATGATTTAAGTGCTTACCTCATAGGGTTGTGAGGGTCAAATGCATTAATATATTTAAAGCATTGAGAACATTTCCTTGTGCATAGTAAGCTATATATAAGCATTCAGTATAATCATTAAGTTTTCAAATCAGTTTGTGTTACAATTTTACCTCTAAATGTGTTTTTGCCCTTTACCCTCACTTTAAACCATGTGCACTCATATAGTGTGAGGTTTTTAATAGAATGTTAGATCTGAAAGGGGTCTTGGATAACATCAGAATAAATATGGGCAACAATATTGAAACCAGTTAGGTTGAGTGATGTGCCCAAGGTCACAATCATATGTGACCAGAAGCCTGGCCAGGTGACTCCTGGTTCAGCTCTGTTTTATCAAGGGTTACAGTGTTTGCATTTTTAATACTAACCATTGGGATTGATCGCGAACCTGCCATTCATCAATTGCATTGTGTGGTGTTTGTTTTTCTACAGAGCAGTTCAGAGCCCCAGTTGCAGACGACTTGTCCTGCCACCACCATGAGCTCCGGTAAGTCATTTTAAACTCATCTTTCTCTTGTCATGTCTACCAAACTGGGCAGTTTACCCAGATTTCCCACGTACTCTGAAGGCCCAAGCGGCATTTTTTTATTTTTTGCAACCTGGGTGAATGCCAAAGCTTTGTCATAAGTTGTCATCATCACTATCATCACCTTCATGGTTAATGATTTTTTGAGTGCTTACTACTATTGCCAAAGAACTGTGCAATACACTTTACATGCACATGAGCCCTCTTTCTCTTTATTGAGATGTAGCTGGCATATCATAAGCCACAGATATTTTAAGTATACAATTTGATAAAATTTGACATATGTATTCATCTTCTTGGCATTTCTTAATCTGAGTGACTGCAGCAAAAGTAAACAGATTGCCCATAATTGCTCCAGGTTGTGAGCTAATCTAATGCTTCCTTCATCCAGGATACTACAACAGTTTGCTCCCTCTTTTGCTTTGTCTTTGGTACTAAAAGTCAAGACCTAAAGAAATAATTAGTTTTGAGTATTTTTTGTTTTGAGCTGGGGTAGAAAACATGGGTTAGGGAAGACAGAGAGGGGAGCAGATCCCTGCTCATCATGCAGCCAAGAGCTGTCAGCTTTCCAGCCCAGAATTGGAGCAGAGGAGTTTCCATCTGGAGATTAAGGCCCACCTAGGCTACTGAACATGCCCTGGAGCCTCCTGAGACCTGCAGGTGGGGCAGGCTGTGGGATGGGAGGATGACCCTCTCATTCAGGGTCTCTCAGTCTTGCAGTATTTTTTGAGTGTTGTCAGTGACCTCTGTGGATTAAAAATCACCCTTTTCCATTTATTTGCTAAGTTCTGAGTAGGATGATTTGTAATTAAGACCTAGGAAGGCTCTGGGGTGGAATAGCTCAGTCCCACACCCTGACCTCCTTGTTTACTGGTTGCATAGCTCTTCTGTGCATTTTCCTCTGCAAAAATGGACATAATAAAAGCACCAGTTCATTGGGATTTAGTGAGGATTAAGTGAGGTGATGCTTTTAATTTATTTATTTATTTATTTATTTATTTATTTAGAGATGGAGTCTTGCTCTGTCACCCAGGCTGGAGTGCAGCGGTGTGATCTTGGCTCACTGCAGCCTCTGCCTCCTGGGTTCAAGTGATTCTCCTGCCTCAGTCTCCCGAGTAGCTGGGATTACAGGCTTGTGCCACTACATCCAGCTAATTTTTTTTTTATGTATTTTTAGTAGAGGCAGCGTTTTACCATGTTGACCAGGCTGGTCTCGAATTCCTGACCTCAGGTGATCCACCTGCAGATGTGAGGCACTGTTCCTGGCCTTAGGCAGTGCTTTTCAAGTGCTGAACTTTGTGTCCAAGGAATGGCGAGCGCTTTATCTTTGGTTTCTTACTGTTACAAGCTCAGAGTTCCTCCCTGCAAAGCCAGGGACTTGGCTTCTCAGCAATTCCTTGAGTACTTTTGCTGTGTGCGAAGAGGCCGTGCCTCTTTTCCCCTCCAAGCGGGCTTGGTACTGCCAGTCGCTCCTGCTTCATAACTCGTTTTGTGTTGTCTCCTTGGCTTTTTGCTTTTGTTGTCATTTAAAACAGGCCATGGTATTTTGCTTTTAACTTTTTCTCTGTAGACTAAAGCTACTTTTTCTTCCATTGTCGGAACTGGCCTAACTTTGCATTACCACTCCTGGCATTAGTGGCCAGAGAAGGAGGAAGGGAGGGGCCTGGAAGGGTGTGGAAAAGCCTGGGAGACTTCTCCCCAGAATCGCTCTCTCAGGTCGGGGGCTGGAAGGAGGCATTGCCTAGGAAGCGTTCAGAAATTCTGGAGCCTTCGACCTGATGATCCCACTCTTGGGAATTTCTGTCTTAATTCCAAGGAAACAAAAACATCACCCACATGAAGCAGGGAGTGGCGGTGGGGGGGTATGAATAAGTACGTTATGTGTATTTACTTGATGGAATATTACGCCGCTATTAAAATAGTCATTAAGAGAAAAGTAGCTACATGGAAAATATTTGTTTTAATCACCGGTGGAAAGAGCAGTGTAAAAATGGTGGATTCTCTTTATCCCAAGTTTGGGCCGGGCTGGCGGTCACCAAGAGAAGTTCTTCACCTGTATGATCTTGTTACATTCTCCTGGAAAACCCTCACAGGTGGGGCGCAGTTTGTCACCCTCATTACACAGATGGAAAAACTGAGGCCCTGAGGGGTCAATAATATGGTTGGGATCACTCAGCTAGTGTGTAGTGTTGTTGAATCAAACTCAGTAAGTTGGACACCAACATTGTGCTGCAAAGGTTTGAATTTCAGGAGATGGAGTTTACTTTTCTAAAATTTCTTCAAGTTTGGTTGTTACATTTAATTAAAAGAAAGGAAGAACATGGGGCTGGGCCTGCTGGTAGCTCAGAGGCTGTACCACACTAGCTTGGGGAGGCCTGGAGCAAGGCCACAGTCACAGAAGGATCTAGAGCAGGTACTTGGATTTCTGGCCTTCTCACCAGCACCCCCCTTCCATGCATCTCAGAAATAAGAGCTCAAGGGAGGTATCTGGGAGAATTGGCCTTCACCTGTAGGTGGATGTGGGGAATTAACAGGACACAGCCTGTGGGGCCAGCATGGGGACATCCAGGCACCAGGCGGGTTAGTGGCCCTGCTCGTGTCTGGCCACAGGCAGCATCCAGACTAGCCTGTTGGTGTGGTTTACAGCAGGCATCCACCCTTTGGGGAGGCTGATTGTTAACAGCTTAGGTTTAGTCTCAGCCTAATGAATTACAGGGGTGTGAGACTAAGCTTCAGTCCCAGCATTTAGAGATATAGAATTTATATATCTATATGTATACATCAGGAAACCCAAATGTTTATCCCATTTGGGTAGTAAGAAGATGAGCTGTGAGATGGGCAGACCAAAGTTCAGATTTCAGCCTAGTGATTTTGGGCAGGCCTGGAATCTTCTCTGCCTCAATTTTCTTACTTGTAAAATAGGCATTCCTAACTCCTAGTTCTCGAGGTCTGAGTCTTAAGGATAAAATGAGATGCTAATTATGGAATGATAAGCATGGATCCTCAGATCTAGGCAAGTCAGTGTTTAAAAACCCAAACATGATTATGTTTGTAGCATGGTTAACTCTGGGCTTGAAGGGGGTTCCTCCAACACACATGTCCCAAGGTGACATGGCCTGCCCACCTGCCTTTCTTGGCCTGCCTCCATCTATTTGGGGATGGGGACCTGGGTGGGGCTTAGGTTGCAGGTGAACAGGGAGGGTCTCAGTTTCTGTAGCTGAGCAGAACTCAGGAAACTCTCAGACAACACAGAAGACATGACATCCGAGGAGAGCCTCAAGGGTGCATGGAATTTCCATCACGTGAGAAGGGAGGAGGAATCATTCTTGGCAGAGGGTCTCATAGGAACCAAGGCCTAGAGGTCTGAAAGTGTCTGACAGGGCAGGACCCCTCCCTCTGCTTCCTCCTGACTCTGACTCCAGCACCTGGTGCCATGTAGGACTCAGTAAGCGCTGGGGCAGCATACTCACAAACCTCATGCTCTCTTTGTTTCTTGCAGAATGTGATGGTGGTTCCAAAGCTGTGGTGAATGGCTTGGCACCCAGCAGTAATGGGCAAGACAAAGGTAAGGTTCTTAGGGAGACCTCGGGGTCAGTACTGGAAAGTATTTCTTTTATTTTCTTTTTTTTTTTTGGGACGAGGTTTTCTCTGTCTCCCAGGCTGGAGTGCAGTGGCACAATCCCGGCTGACTGCCACCTCTGCCTCCTGGGTCAAGCAATTCTCCTGCCTCAGCCTCTCAAGTAGCTGGGATTACAGGCACCTGCCACCACGCCCGGCTAATTTTTGTATTTTTAGTAGAGACAGGGTTTTACCATCTTGGCCAGGCTGGTCTTGAACTCCTGACTTGGTGATCCACCTGCCTTGGCCTCCCAAAGTGCTGGGATTACAGGCGTGAGCCACTACGCCCGGCCTGTACTGCAAAGCATTTCTAAAGTTGTGGAGTAATGCAGGCTGGGGCCATCCCATCTGCCTGGTGTGAACATCACTGGCCTAACCAAAACATAAACTGGAGACCTGTTCCCCACACTGATTTTCTGAGACCCGGAACCTGTTCTTGTATTTCAGGAGTTTGAGACTGCCATTTTCCCACTGTGAGGTATTAAAAACTTTCCCTAGCTCAGAATGTTGCTGTGAATAACTGTTCAGATACATGGACCAAGGCATACTTCATTTCTGGTACAGATGGCATTTATCAGCCTGAAATATCCCTTGCTCAGCCTTTCATCTTCACCTATAATAAACAGTGATGTGTTCACAGTCCTGACCCTAAGGCAAGAGCCTAAATCATTAGAATAAATTATTTCATTGGCATTAATTTTATGCACATCCTCTCATAGTTTCAGTTTTTAAAAATTTTAGGAGAAAAGATTTAAATGTGAAATGAATGATGGATGTGATGACCTTTGAGGTACTCCTTGGCCTGGAGACTTTCATCTTGACCTCAGTGTGGCTGCGCAGACAGCCTGGCTACAGGGCCCATGGTCCACTTTTACTGCATGGTGTGATAGACACTCCAGCTGGAGTGACAAGGCATGGGTTCAAGTCTCAGCTCTGCCACTCATTAACAGGACATCTTGAGAGGTCCTTTATCTTTGTGGATGTGGGTTCCCTTATCTACAAGATGAGGGAATTTTATGATCTGCTGTATTTATTTCTGCCTCAAATTCAGAATTGGAATGAACACTCATCCAACTAAATCTTACGGTATACAAGAGGAAGGGCGAGAATCCTGGCATTGGGCATTTAAGTCAAGATGCATTTCTCAAAGAATAATTTGAAACAATTTGGCATTTTGACCTTTGTAATTTCTGTCTGGATCAGCAAAGTGTTCCTTTTAAGACACGGCAAAGTGTGAACTAAGAGGAAGCAGCTGTAGAGGGTAGGGTATGCCGAGACACTGGGAGGGGTTGGGGTACAGGGCCCAGGTGGTGTGGGGGTGGGTTCCTTGATGGCAGGAGGGGACCTGCCATGCTCCTGTTCTTGCCTCCCTGTCTGACCTCCCATCTGCATCCCTGGTGTGGAATCCTGTACAGTCTCTACCAAGTTGTCCTTAGGGAACTTTGAAGGGCAGTGCTGTGGAGTGGCTGCAGGCATGTGTTTAGCATCCAGTGAGGAGCATGGCAAGGAGAGGGGCCCTGTGTGTTTAAAACCTGTGGGGTCATCAACCCCATTCATGTGAACTCATTTATGCAAGAGACTTAAGGCATGTGGAGGAGGGTGGCATGTGGAGTGGGCCCCATTCTCTCCTTGGTGAGACTCACCTTTGTCTGGAAACAAGCAGGCAGAAGTCATCTGAAGGGCATCAGAGTGGCCTAAGGTCCCTGAACCGGAGCTGGGACAGCTAAGCTCCAGTCTTAGCCTCTGTCTGAGAACCAAATGAGCCTGAGCAGTTCGCTGAGCCTCTTGCTTCCTCTGAAAATGGTTACAAAAGTCTCCCCCAAGCCTATCTCCCAGGTGGAGCAGACAGAAGGATGCTGTAAGAGCACATTTGTCTTTAATACATGCAGTAGTGTCATTTGCAACCTAGTCCTTGATAGCCAGGTGCTGTGTGACTGCCCCATACCTTACGAGGTCAGCTGACAGCATGACGGACTAGAGGTGCACTGCCCCTGGCCGACAGGCCTCCCTTCTGTTGCCTCGATAGGCTCACCAGGATGATGCTGACTCTGCAGTGGTGATCTTGCTCCCAGGCAGCCCTACCTGCTATGGTTCTATAGATCTGTGGCCACAGTTGACTTTGGCACCCTCGCACAGAGCTCCTATCCCTCTTTATGTGCTGCCCTTAAGAGAGAGTATGAGGGGAGGCCTCACAACAGGCTCATTGTGAGAAGAGTTAGGGGTGTGCCTATCATGAGATTACAGAATCTGGGCAGGCAGGGAGCCCAGAGACCCTGCAGATAGATAAGTGTGGGCACCCAGGACATTTGAGCAGTGGCCTTCACTGCATCCTGGGCAGGCAGCCCTACTCTGCCTTAGCTCAGCTGGGCATCGGGGTCCTGGGCTGTACACTTGGGTGCTGCCCAGAGACTACATATGCTCTTGGACACTTGGCACCTCCTGACCAGGAAAGGGTGGGTTTAAGCAAGGCCATCTGCTGTCCAACAGATGGGGGTTCTGATTTGCTTGGGGCCGGAGGGCTATGATTGTCAGAGCAGGCACAAGACCCCAGAAGCTATGCTGTGGGGGAAGTACCTCTGGTGGCTGAAGGGACCAGGCAGCTCATGATCTTATTCCTTTGTTCCTTCACTCATCTGGAGCCCACGGGCCGCAGCCCTCCTCCTTGAAGCCCACTCCCCAGCCTTCTCCCAAGAGGCCCTGTGGACCCTGAGTGCTCTCCTCTACCTCCATTTGCCAGGCCATCTGTGCCTCTGTAAATCTTTGTCCAGAGCCTTGGCAAGCTCCTGGTGTGGCAGGAGCCACCGATCAACACTGACCAGCTGTATTTGGGTGATTATTGGGGGGGAGGGGTCTGTCGTCTTGGCCTAGAACTCTAAAGAGAGAAAGCAGGTTATTTTTAATTACTGCGTCTACTGCCCTTTGTATTGTTCTTGTTGTGTGGGCGACTTCCTCCTATTGTCCCTGCCCAATTCCTCAACTGCCTGAGTGTTTCCCAAATGTTCTTTCTGGATGCACCATTTACCCTTTTGTGTTTTCAGCAACTGCCTACCCTTTACGTGCACGCTCTATTTCTGCTGTTAAAATCATTCCTGTGAAGACAGTGAGAAACGCCTCAGGCCTAGTTCTCCCTCCAGGTATCTCCTTGGGTCGGTTGATTTTCTTTAATTGTGAGCGGATCATGGCATGGTTTTCCTTTCTTCTTTTCTTCTAACACACGCTTTGAGCTGAATCCTTGCATGTTTAGGAGGCATTCCGTCTCACTTCCTCAGCTTGTTTCCTTTTCTCTTCTGTGTGCGTACGTGAATGTCTGTGTGTGTTTTTCTGGGAGCCAGTGAGTGTGGGGAAGAACTGAGGACAGAGGCCTTGCCCCTCTTTCCTTTAGGAGAAGGGTCAGTCGACAGCCTCAGCTTTCACTTTGGGATGGGGCTGAGGTGCATGGACATCCTAGGCTCTCCCTAGAGGTTTCCAACTCCAAGTACTTTAGCAGAAACTGCAGTCTCCTTGAGAATTAACCTGGTCTCATAGAGAACCTCTGAACTGGGCTGAATTTGAAGCAGCTGCCTTAGGTGTCAAACCTAGACTCGCCTCTGCGATGCTCACTGGGCCATCCCAGAGCATCCCCTGTGCCTTCCCCGATTTTCTGCAGCCACTTCCTGCCTCTCCCCTCCAGGGGTTGGGGGAGTTACGGCTCAGATGTCAGTTTTGTACAAAGTGGGACACATGAGGCCTGTGCAGTACTTTATCCAGTGGCACTTTCAGAAGTAACTGGGCTGTGTGTTTAGGAACCTATGGATGGGCTGCACCCATCAGTGTCCTCTTCGTCCTTTTGAAGTGACCAGGAACCAGTTTTCCCATAGTTTGGTGACATCAGTCACTTAGCCTTTTGATAGAGTTGGATAGGTCAGATGCTCTCCAAGGCTGTTGCTTGCCCCACCACACGTTGTGGGTTTTATGCATTGCGTTCAATACAAGAGGTGCTGACAAGGCAGGTCTGTTCTCTTCTCTAATGCTAATGATCATTCTCCGAGTTGTTGGAAGGGGGCTGCTGACATGAAAAGCAAGGAGAGAAGAGGCTTTGCTTCTCCCTGCCCTCAGATGGGAATGGGGGTGAGTTGGACATCTGAACTCACATACCCAAACACACACCCTGAATGTCAACCTGTAATCCTAATTGTGACAATTTTGGGTCAGGGATCTAGGCTGTGAGCAATTGGAAAACAAAACAAAACTGTGGTGTTCTGCATAGCTCAGCTGCACATAAAGAAACACTGGAGTGTGTGCCTCCCCGAACTGTGTGGTGTGCCCCGGTTCCCTGCCTGCCTGTGACTGATTTTCTGCAGGATGGCATTCAGACCTTTTGAAGCGTATTTTGAAATCTTTCTCGAGGAAACTTTCAAAGTTGACCCAGGTCTGTTATTAGGTCCTAGTGAAACTGTAGGAGATGCCAGGACCCTGGGAAGACAGCTGAGGCTCAGTGGACACTGCTCATTAAAGGATTTAGCCTTTTGGGTCATTTTTGTTGCTGTGAGTTTTCTTTGTTAGTTTGGAAAGTGAGGCTGTTACTCATGAGCTTTCTCGCCAGGCAGCTTATCCTTCTGTCTCAGCAATTTGGGAGCCTTGACTTGCCGATCCAAGGTGATTTGCTTTTCCTTTTCCCACTGGAAAACTGCAAGGAGTAGTTGTTCTCCATAGAACACCACCCCTGCCCCCACTTCCCTACATCGCCAGCTTGGTTTTTAATGAGAAGGATGGTCTGGAAGCTTGAGACATCTTTCATAAACTTTCTTGAACTGTGCCTTACTAACTGGTCAGAAGTCTGCTCACCAACCCAAATGTCATTTAATCAAAGGCATAAACCTGCTTTTATTTTGAAATGTTTTCAGCTGATATTGTAACTCATCCATTTACTCTGAACTCACCATTGCCACCACGTTCCCCTAACGTCATGATGCACAGTAAACCTCTGAAAACTTGCCCCTCTCCACCACCCACAGATTAATTTCCATTGGCCACAAGTGTTTGAAGACTTTGCGTGGCTGTAACCAGGTTCATCTCATTCCCTAGCTATAACAATTTGCTAACCAACTGTCCTTTAATCTTTCAGGATTCTTAGATTCAGTCTTCTCTTTTGGACCTTTTCTTTTCAGACATGGATCCCACGAAAATCTGCACTGGAAAGGGAGCAGTGACTCTCCGGGCCTCGTCTTCCTATAGGGAAACACCAAGCAGTAGCCCTGTGAGCCCTCAGGAAACCCCTCAACACGAAAGCAAACCAGGTGCGCTGAGGCTGGGGGAGATGTTCAAAGCCACATGGGAAGGGTGGGCGGATGCTCTGCTGTTTTTGCTCAGGAGGGTGTGAATTCATCAGATGCCTCCTGGTTCTCTCAGGGTTCCCTGGGATAGTCAGCTCCTTTTGATGGATAGTGGTCAAAACCCCAAACTAACAGTCACATGCTGCAGATGAAGGCACAGAAAAGACCACCACTTTATGTTAGCTTTGACTGAGCAGGTCATCCTGTGTCAAGAGCCAGTGCTCTGCAGACAGTACTCATGCAGATGGAAATGACTTAGGGCATGGGGGGTAAACGGTGAGATGAGCTAGAGGTTGGGCTTCTCAGAGCTCATCCCTGAATCCTAGAGGTTCGCTGTGGCCTGTCCAGGCAGGGCTGGGCTGGAGGTGCAGCCAGGGGAGACTGAGAAGTGTGGTTGACCTTGCTTGCTCCTGGGAAAGCAGAGGTGGGCAGGGCTCAGGCCTGGGATGGCCACCAGCCAGCTAGGGGAGCAAGATCAGGAGAAGTAGTTTCAAGGCCCAGTGTAAACTAGGAGCAAAGGAAGATCGAAGAAGCCACATGAAGCCCATCTCCCCACCTTAATCCATCACTTGAGAAACCTGAGGTATTGAGGCTTAGAACTGGGACTTCAGGGCCAGGCGCAGTGGCTCATGCCTGTAATCCCAGCACTTTGGGAGGCTGAGGCTGGCAGATTATCTGAACTCAGGAGTTCAAGACCAGCCTGGCCAACATGGTGAAACCCCATCTCTACTAAAAATACAAACATTAGCTGAGTGTGGTGGCGCGTGTCTGTATTTCCAGCTACTTGGGAGGCTGAGGCAGAAGAATCGCTTGAACCCAGGAGGTGGAGGTTGCAGTGAGCCGAGATTGCGCCATTGCATTCCAGCCTGGTGACAGAGACTCTGTCTCAAAAAAAAAAAAAAAAAAAAATAAAAAAAAAGAACTGGGACTTCAGAACCTAATAGATCTCTGTGTACACCCTGCCAACCCTAATGAACTGTAGAATGGGATTGGTAACTGCATCTGCCTCGTAGGATCATTTTGAGAAAGAAGTGTATGAAGCACTGTGTATCATTCCTGGTGGTATGGACTAGACTGTTAGATGTTAGCTGCTATTTGATTATGGTCAGATTATTTTGGCTTCGCCAGAGATGACTTTCCATGGCCCAAGTATTCTGGGAGTTGGCAAATGCTGACTTTGAGATCAGGCACAGTTAGTTTAGGGTAAGACAGCGCCTCTCCACTCTGTAGGGCAGTGTCTTCCACACCTTAGCTGCATCAGAATCACTTGGAGTAAAAGGATAGGTTGCTGGGCCCCAGCCCGGAGTTTTCAAATGTAGGATTCCCACTTGCAGGTCTGAGGTAGGGTCTGAAGTTTTGCATATCTGATAGGTTCTTAGGTTGTGCTGATGCTGCTAGTGCAAGGACTGTATCTGAGAGCTGCTGCTGTAGGGGTGTGAGCTTGCTTTCTTGAAGGACATGGAGGGAGCAGTTGAATGGAGGGAAGGACCACTCCCTTGGGACCAGAGAGGAAGGGCAGTAGGGTGCACAAACCCCTCTAGTGCAGGAGTGGTGTGTTGTGATAAGATAGACATGATGTGTAGGATGGAAATGGCCAGATCTAGCATCCTGGAAACTGACTTTCATCCTGTCCAGCCGCCCATAACAGGTGTTGGGACAACCTGCTGGCGGATGAGGCCAGGCTAGGGTTTGAGCACAAACCCCTTTCTAGTGATGTTGGTCCCTGTGAGGGCTTCTTCATCCTTAGTCTGAGGGAGGCCCGAGCAGCCCACAGCCTTAAAAGTCGACAGAGTAGCTTCTTGGTCCTGTATTCCTGAGCCCAGCCCTGACTTCTGACCCGCTGCAATTTGCTTTTCTGCTCTTAGAAAGGTGGGGGTGAGGAGAGAAGGCAAAGTTTTATTCTAGGGCTAACTTCATCCAGCCTCTCCAAGCCTAACTGGGAAGACCCAGCTCCCAAGCTAGAGAGTGTTTGGAGAAAAAGAGAGAGTCCCTAAAGGATGATGCAAAGAGAAAGGCCTTATGTGCAGTCCCTTGGCCCAGTCAAATGACCTTACAAACCGCCTGTCCCATCCTCTGATCGCAAATGGAGAGGGAGCCTGGAGCTCCCTCTAGTGGTTACAGCATGGCATTGACGTAGAACACAAATATGTCCACCAAGTGCACGCCTGTACCAGTGCCTCCTAGTACCATGTGGAATTTTTTTTAATTTTTTTTTTTTTTTTTTTTTTGACACGATCTCAGTCTCTTGCCCAGGCTGGAGTACAGCGATGCAATCATGGCCCACTGCAGCTTTGACCTCCTGGGCTCAATCTGTCCTCCCACCTCAGCCTCCCAAGTACTGAGGTGCACGTCACCACACTTGGCTAGTTTTTGTATTTTTTGTAGAGACAGAGTTTTGCCATGTTCCCCAGGCTGGTCTTGAACTCGTAGGCTCGAGTGATTCACCTGTCTCGGCCTTGCAAAGTGCTGGGATTACAGGTGTGAACCACCAAGCCCTGCCCTGTATATGGATTTGAGGCACTGTTGGAAACACTGTCTTATCCCAAAATATGTTTGTGTCTTACAAATTTCTACCAACTAATTAGGTGAAAAGAAACTTTACCAAATCTGTTTCACCAAACCATAACCACATTGTTTTAAAATGCAAATACTGTACTCGGAAGAATTAAGGGATAGCTATCAGTCATTCACACCTTACAGTAAGTTCATCTTTGTGAATTGAGATCATCAAATCCAAATGAGCATGCATTCATTCAGCATTATCTGTATGCCAGGTGCTAAGCGAGTTACTTGGGATTGTGATGAGAAAGGAGGAAAATAGAACAATTCTAGGTGCATTAGGTGAGGGCAAAAGGCAGTACGTTATTGCAGCATGAGTCAGGTGTGGACTTGCAGTCAGCCACCTTGCTTTTGGGCTATGGGTAAGTCCTAGTGACTTTGAGCCTATATCAAGTATGAGGGTCTTGGGTCAGATGCTTTCCAAGCCTTTCTAGGTCCAGAATGCTCTTGACCTTAGGAAGTTTGGAAATTAGCCCGACACACATGGAATCCCTTTGATTGGGGATAAATTTAAGATGGTACAGCAGGGCGGTTTGGATGAAAAGGAACAAGCTGGGTTGAGAAGAGGAAACAGAAAAAACCCCACATGCTCATTAAGGGTACAAAGCAGGCTAGAATGAGCTAATGCTCGGGAGTGGGCTTAAAAGAGGATGTGAGTGGGCCAGGCATGGTGGCTCATGCCTATAATCCCAGCATTTTGGGAGGCCGAGGTGGGCGGATCACTTGAGACCAGAGTTTCGAGACCAGCCTGGCCAACATGATGAAACCGCGTCTTTACTAAAAATACAAAAATCAGCTAAGCATGGCGATGCACACCTGTAATCCCAGCTACTCGGGAGGCTTAGGCAGGAGAATCACTTGAAGTAAGATCATGCCACTGCACTCCAGCCTGGAAGACAGAGCAAGATGCTTTTTCAAAAAGAAAAACAAGAAGTGAGGATGTGAGTGTAGACAGTTGAGGAATGGGAATCTTGTCCCCTTACCATGCTACCCATTGGCTAGCATCCTGCTGGTTCTTGACTCTGGCAGTGTCCACTTGAACCTCAGGATGACAACTTGCTGGCCCATACCAGTCTATTGTCCTGTCTTGGGGCCTGGGAGCTCCTGGGCCTTCCCTGGCTTCATAAAAACAGTTTTCAGCAGTATTTGCAGACAGCCATGCCTAGTCTGGATGGGGAGCCTAAGGGTGAGGCAGTGGATGGCTCTTGCCAAGGATTGCTTCCTACTCTCAATGCCTTTGCAGACAGCTAATGTTAGATGGCATCTGGCACCCTCCCTTCTCTCTAGGGACAGCCTTTGTCCCCCAGCTGCTCTGTCTGCTTTCTCTCTGACTTGCTCCTCATTTGCCACCTTCTTCAATGCCTATAGGTGTCCAGGTTGCTGACTATTTGCCTGGGCTGGAAGCTCCAGCCCCTACATGACTGGGACTACAGGTGCCTGCCACCATGCCCAGCTAATTTTTTTTTTTTTTTTTGTATATTTAGTAGAGACAGAGTTTCACTGTGTGGGTCAGGCTGGTCTCGAACTCTTGACCTCATGACCTCATGATCCACCTGCCTCTGCCTCCCAAAGTGCTGGGATTACAGGTGTGAGCTATAATTCTAGCACTTTGGGAGGTTAAATGAACCCTTTCATGTCAAGCATTTAGCACAGGCCCAAAGTAAGTACCCTTTAAGGATAACCATTCTAGTTCCTGCAGGTCAAGAGGCTTGTTAAGCATAATTTCAGTTTGAAGCCATGAGGGCCTGATCCTAGCATGGTGGCAAAGGGAATGAAGAGAAGAGGCTGAGGGTAAAAGTGTCTTTTGGAGAATGAAATGACCAGGGCTCCTCGTGGTGTATTTAAGGACCACAGAGAGGCAAGACTCCAGGAGATGTCTTCCCTGGTTGGCTAGGAGAGTAATCGTGTCACTCACGGAGATGGGGGGGATTTGTGAAGAGTGATGAAAAGAATGTTGAATTCCATTTTTTGACATGTTGAGTTTCTTGGCAAGGGAATGACTTCTAGGAAAATGTTTCTAATGGGAATTTGGAAATTTGGAGTCCAGGGCATGGATTTGGAAGCCATCTGCATCCACATGAACTTTGACAGAATGGAGACATTCTCGGGGGTGGAGTGACAGATAGAGCCCTTGAAACTGCCCAGTTAACACTCATTCTCCAGACTCCTCCGTTCAAGTGGTGGCTTAACTCAAGATCCCTGACCACAGCTTCCTGATCAGCCGCCTCATCTCTGATTGTGGACCTTGGTTTTTGGATCAGAACAATCTGAAAGGAATGGCAGTAATCTTAGTACTGACTCCCTTCCCCTCGAAGAAGCCTCATCACCTTATCCCTGCCTGCTGACCTCATTGCCACACCAGGCCTGAGCGTTGGCCATGTTGGTTTAAAAGTGACTTGATCATGTCCCAGATCAGGATGTTTTCACTCCAGACAGGGAGCCTGAGCTGGTGGTGGGTGTGATACAAAGCTTCTTGTCTGGTATAGTCTAAAGATCTTGTGGCTTGATACATCAATTCCTGTGTTCTGAATCAGATGCCAAGGTCAGTTAAACCCTTATATTTTGTTAATTCTGCACCAGTTGGCTCCAGTCCTTATTGCCTGATTCTTGAGTGCAGAGTTAGCTTTGGACGTAAAGAGTCTTAGACCTGCGGTCAAATTATTTCCTCTGGTTTGACCCTCACATTTGCTCTCCAGAAACGGCAATAGCAAAAAGGTACCATAAGAAGGTTACCATTGAAGCAGTTAAAGGTACCCCATACTTTCATTAAATGAGAGTCTTTTTGATGAGTACATGTGTGAGAATTAGGGCCAGCTGAGAAGTTGGAGGGAGAAGTCCTCACAAGAGTTCACCCTTTCTTCTGACACCAAGTGCAAGTTCAGGGGATTCCCAAAACCACTCTCAGGTTTGGTAAAACGCTAGAGGGACTCACGTAACTTATTGAAAGCTGCTACACGCAGCATTATGGTTTATTACAGGGAAAGGATACAGAGAAGATGCATATAGGGTGGAGTCTGGGAGAGGTACCAAATGCGGAGTTTCTGTTGCCCTCACTGCATAGAGGCAGGACATGTTATTTCCCAGCACTGATGTGTGACAGTGTTCTCAGAGCATCGTCAATCAGGAAGTGTACCCGAGCCTTTGTGTTCAGCGTTTTTACCGTGGCTCCGTTACATAGGCATCGCAGTCTCCAGGCCAACTTCCTAATCTGTTAAGCTCCTGCTGGCTCAAAGCCCCCATCCCAAGTCACATAACTGATGGACTCAAAGCCCCAGATAAACAAAGTCACTCCTATCAGGCATGACTTTCCAAGAGCCCAGGGATTACATCCCAGAACCTGAGGGCAAAGGCCAGACCTCTTTTTGGATAAAGTTAAATTCTCTACTGTGCAGCATGAATGCAAAATAAACACAAATAAGATTTGGAACACCCTTAGACTTACTATAACACCTGTCATCTACCTCTTGAATACTCTCATGAGAACACATCAAGATGACTCAATGAAAATTATCCTAAGATCCCAAGAAGAACTGATCAGCAGAAGACTTTAGAATAGGTCAAAATGAAATGAGCATAGATTGAGATAAAATAAAATATCAGGAGGCTACAGCCACAGGCCAGAAAAGATTGCAAATAAAGAACAGCTGGAGGAAAAGATAAGGCCAAGTAAATTATGCTTCTTGTGGAAAGGGTAGGTCTCTCGGGACTGCAAAAGCTCTCTAGGATCCAACTTTCCAAGGCACTCTCCCAACCTTGGGAGCTCTAAGGTAACGTTTGTTGAAAGAAGCATTTTGACACTCTCTTCAATCAGGAGTTAATAATGGATGATTATGTGTGCAAAATTTCATACTGCTGCATGCAGGCACAAATGGCCCCAGGCTGCTACCAACCTTCCAGCTTCAGAAGATGAGGTAATAGATGAAGGATGATAAGATGTCAGAAATACAGCTGTCTGGCTGGGCGCGGTGGCTCAAGCCTGTAATCCCAGCACTTTGGGAGGCCGAGGCGGGTGGATCACAAGGTCAAGAGATCAAGACCATCCTGGTCAACATGGTGAAACCCCGTCTCTACTAAAAACTACAAAAAATTAGCTGGGCATGGTGGTGCGTGCCTGTAATCCCAGCTACTCAGGAGGCTGAGACGG